TGTTTTATTTTTTTTATAATTTTTGTGTAGTAGATAAGTTGCTTTATTATTTACATACTCTTGCGTCAAATTTATCACTTAGCTCTAGCCATTATCTAAAATTTCTCCTGAAATGTGCAGGGCAACCGTCATGGGGAAGTCCCATATCTCGAATCAGATAAATCTTGTCTTAAAAAGTTTTCGTAATGTTCTTCATTTAAATTGTCAGGTATAAAGTAAGGCTCAATTAAATGGTTCGATTAGTTTTTCATTCTCTAGTGTAGGCGCTTCTTATCCCAAATCATGCTCTTGCTACCTTGACGGTACGAATCTATCACTTGACTTTCCGATGAAAAATAATTAACTAGTCAAATTAAGCGATTAGAATGTTTTTGAATTAAGGATATTACCCAAATAATTGATATATATGTAACAAAAAAGTCCAAGGTAGGCCGAAAAATATAGTGCACATTTAATATTATATTTTATAATAGTTAGAGCAGAGTTGACTTTTGTGAGGTGACACGCAACGACTGCGCGACGCGCTCACAATAACTTACAGGGACGTGATTTGTTGACAAATGCTCGCGGACCGACCGCGCCTCTCCACTCGGATAAGGAGCTTTTCTCTTAGTTTAAAAATAACAATAACTACGGGGTTCAGCTGTGAACTGATGATATAATATTGTACGCTTGTGCGAAAAATCTAATTTTCGTCCCAGTATTCCCACCCCCGGCGCGGCGGCATGGTGAGCAGTCGCGTTCTTATTTTTGGACTTGTGATGCACTTTAGGGATATTAATAGTGATCACCAGGTTGTTAAATTATAGACGAGAAGACCTCAGTTTCCACCACGTTTATGATAAATATTTTCCATAATAAAATAAAAAATTGGAAATGTAACAAAACTAACTAAAGATGGTTGTATAATCCGCACTCTTCATATTCGTACTACTGAGTTAAAAAATCGCCAGATAGGTGCCGGCAAGCAGTATAAAACGAGCTAAAGGACTGTCATCGTCAACCTGACTAGCTGTGAGCCGAAAGGGCCGGAATTTTTTTTTAAACTAACAGAATGGATTTTTTACCTTTATTTAAATTCATTCTACAATTATGACGTTTAGAGCAGATTAGCTAAGCCAACCGTGTCAGTAGTAGATGTTTACAATGATGAGGCAATATTAATAACAGCATCAAAGCAAAGCGGGGAAAAGCTAATAACTTTCAGACAAACAGTTTATCTATCAACTGGACATGAGGTGCAGAGAACACCGCCCGCGGGCGAGCGAACCGCCAACATCAAAGTGACAAAAATAATATGATGCGCGCAGCAAATTTGTTAAAATTACTTCACTACGTATTTGATAAAAAATACAGAAACAAATTTTTTTTTCATTCAGCAGAAATTTTTAAAAGAAAGCTTTTTTATAGGATAAGGGTGACAAACGAGCACACAGTCCACCCGCTGGTAAGTGTAGGTATGTGGTTACTGTGGCCCATAGATTTCTATCCTTACGAGATTTATATATCTATTACGAATTAATCATTTTGATGGATTTGAGTTTTGTGTTATAAGACCATGGTTTGTTTAGCTTGGTGCGTCGCGTGTGTGTTAGGTGGTAACATTATAAAAATCACCACCACACCACACACATAAAGTATATTATTTTTTTATAATCACAACAACTTTTGACGCGGTAGAGCCACGCTGCAGCTATATGATTGTAGCACGAATTGGTCACTCGACCGGGGAAGGACCGCGCTCTCACAGAACACCAGCGTTAAACAGTAGCTCAATGATGCTGTCTCGTATGTTGAGTGTAGAAAGTCGGAGACCTTTTTACTGGGAACGAGGCATCTAAGTCCTCAGGAGTGACAACGCATCCGCATTTTGATTTTAAATCGACGATAGATATAGATGTCTATGGGTCACAGAATCCACTTACCATCAGGTGATCTGTTTACTCGTTTGTAACCCTTATTTTATATAAAAAAGGTTACGCCATCGGGGTCAACTGCCTTAAAATAACACAATACAGTGTACGTGTGGCAGGTGAAGAGTGCAGTGGCTACAAGCATTTTGTGCAAGCACTCAGGCCTGGGTTCGATTTTTATGGTCTACAAATAATTTTTAAGAATTTGAGTGTTTGTCCATGTGGGGTTTAGGTGTCTAAAATATCTTCACTATACAAGAGAAATTATTAGCATGAGTTAATATTTTTTATTTAAAGAAAAGTCATGTATTTAGAAAACGTGCAGTAATACTTGCCGGAGTTTATACGATGCAGGTTGTGTGGACTGGATTATATTTTTAATTCTACTCCACCGTCAAAGTTAAGTAAATTAAAGTATTAATTAATAGGTAATTTTGAATAAACAAGTTTTAGTAAAATGAGTCGTTTAGAATTGTTTACAAATATTATGGTAACAATAACCCATGTTAAAAGACATCCCTCGAGATAACAAAGCATTTTGGTAGCAAATACTGTGCCTTTTAGGCATTCGTTTGTAGTTTATCAAAATTTTATACCTTTGACCTAGGAGCAGTGTTGAGTAGAAACGGTTTCACTATATTATTTATTTTTAACTAAACTTAATATTCAAAGGCCAAAAGCAGCAAAACGAAGGGTTTTGAATTGTTTAAAGATGTTTTGGGAACCGTGACCCATGTTAAGCTAGATCCTTCAACACGACAAAGCAACTGGTGGCAAATGGTGTGCCTTTTAGGCATTTGTTTGCAGTTCATTACAATTTTATACCTTTGATATAAGAGCAGTGTGGAGTCGAAAAGGGATTACTTGATAATTATTTTTAAGCTAAAAATTTAGAGACTAAAATTTATTACTCGTACAAGTATTCTTTCGTGTTATTAGTTACTAGGCAAAGAATTTAAGTGTTATTATCGAAATGTTTAAGCAAAAAAACGTCTAAAGGGGCGAAACCTCTAATGAGTATGTCTAATTAATAAAACGTCCATGTAGGGAAACGGACATCAATCGAAAGATCTATATTGTAAAACGTCTAATGTAATCAAAATACTACATTACATATACGGGAGACATATTATGTACGTACAAGTTTCCTTGGTCGAACTATTTGTAGCCTATCTCATATTTTTAATAGTGTTACGAGCTTAGGGTTCGTGACAATAAAAACTACCGATTGAATTACCAAAATTGACATTTTAATTACCGAACACCAATTAAAACTAATACACACTGATAATTAATCACACTTAACACTTTACTTCACTTTATTTCGCTCCTAAGTCTTCACTTGTATCACCAATTCAATACCGCTCCGGTCGCGGTGCAAACGGCTTTATATAGGCCTTTTCCACCGAAACATGAATGAACCGAATGTTCCAGCAAATACCTGTCACGACCGACTAGATGTAGAAAATTCGAGTGTGGAGTTTTCTAGAAAGCTTAGTTCTTCTATTTGATACTAGATGGCGCTAGTGGGAGAGTTCTAGAAAGATCTTGACGCTCTTATTTCTGCTGCTTGATACCAGATGGTGCTAATAATCACCCACCATATAGCGGGCGCCAATTATAGCGCGCAACAATAGTATCAATTAATGTCATGGAATATTATTTGATTGGCCTGTCAAGAAATATCATCGACAGGAGGTTGTGGTGTGGTTGCGGTAAACCTTGGGCTACCTCAATGCCGGGGACATTTATATAATATATTAAACAGCGACAATTCCACTGGGAAATGAAACCGGTACGTACTCAGGTCGCTTTTCAAACTTAAATCAAGTAAATTTTTCAACCATAGTTTTGTATAAGAGAATTCATTTATCAACGATATTTTTTTCGTCCATTCTGCAAAAGTTGTCATGGTATGTTAATTTGTTGTTTGATGTTGATTTTTTATGAATTTCAAACCAATTAATTACAGTTTCCAGATTACTTCTACCGAATTCTATAAATTAAGCACTATTTTATTAAATAACATCTTGATTTTTAAGCTACATTAAGCGGGTAATTACAAATGATGTTCATGAGTGTACACATTAAAGAATTGATGATTTGCTGAATAGACGTGCTGCTATACAGACCTTCCAATATAGATGTTTTGATTTTACGTCCCTACGTATTATAAGTAGTGATTATTGGATTTTTCACGTGTACGTTTCGCTACTTATACTTTCTGATTAAAAGGTAATTTAATTAATTTCGGTATTATCACGTAGAAGTGGAAATCTAGTTTCAGATTTCCCCCACCAATAGATGTAGGTATTTCATGAATAGACATATATGTATGTCTATTGGTGAAATAGTTACATTTAGTAAATGTTTCTTTAAGCTGCTCATCAGCAAAGGCATTTCTCACAGTCTAATAGTCATACGGACGGATTCTATTATAGACCTACTGAATGGCAAATTCAGAGCTATATTAATATTAAATAATTAATGACGAAGATTAAAAATTAAATTTAAGTGCCTATAAAAATTACTACAGCTAGCATAGATTCGGACCAGATTTTTCTTCACGATGCTCTATGTGCGTTAGTGAACTTCACCTGTCTTTCTTCACCTTCACTTCACTCAAAGGTTGCAGGTTTCCTAACAATACTTTTTGGAGCGGAGCTAGCGAAGCCAGCGGAGCTCCCACGGCGCAAGAAAACTATTCTTTGAAATCTATCTCGTCCACAACCTGTAGGCCAATTTACATAATTTTTCCGGCAATATTTGTAGCTCAACGCAGACAAGGTTTGTCACCAATAAAAAATGAATTTGATTTTTTTTTCTTTTACTATCTAATCAATTCGCTAATGTACATCTGCGCAATGTCACACCATTTGATTGAATCTTTTGTTGAAATAAAGATAGCTATGACCTTAGACTTTTTCTACGCTCCCTTTACGATGCTATCAAAAGGTTTTACATTAGCATCTGCATCGGCCCTAGTACCACTACGTACGTACACTGGTGGGAATTGAACTGGTTCTTAATGCCTCACTTAGTGACTGAATTGGGTCTAATATATTCATTAGTTTACATCATACTTACTTGTATAAAGAGCCACGATGTTACGAGTGCCAAGCTACTGTACTGTCCGTTAAAGCGGTAATGGTATGCGTAGAAGGAGAAGTGGTACAGGTAGAAGAATCTGTTGACAAAAGAAACGATAAATTAATTACAAAGTAACAATAAATTTGAAAATTCTTTAAGAATTGCAGTATTAGATTCAATTAAATTAGATGAAAGTTATTAAAATGCCAATAATAAACATAATTCCTTAGAAAATATTAGGTCATATTGCAGAAATCAAGCTTTTTCCTATATCTAAGGGGGTAATGGAGCAGACGTGTGTTAGTAGATACACCGCTGGTAGGTTGGTACTCGCATATTCTCAAAATATACTATATCCAAAATATTTTAGACAAAATGAATGATAAAACAAATTAATAGGCGGTAAATTCATATAATTCACGTCAAAGTTGAACACAGAGACGGTATAAAACTGAACTTAAAATGGCATACCTATAATAATAGTAATGGATATTTATACATTCATACTAGATGAAAATCCTATATTGATGACCTAAAATAATTTTAAGTGTGCTAAGCGTAGTGAAACGATCTTATATTATAAATAAATCGTGAAAGAATGAGATTGAAAATGGTGTCGCTTCTATTCACCTCTCGCTCGCACACTATCGCTATCTATACTCACACTATCAGTACAGACTGCAAAAAAAACGTGATATGCGTTTTTCGTACGTTCAATAATTTCAATCCAACTTTTCATTGGAATAAATGATAACAAAACTGCCATATACAAAAATGATTCGGTCCGCTTTCGCTAATTTGTGATTTACGACGCGTTCTGAGAGTTTCCTTCATAATTACTGTTGATTTTGTTTAATATTTTTTTGCATAAAATATTTACATGCCATTGAGATATGAGCACCCATTCACGAAATTACGTTTAACTGTGTGTCCGGGCTAATCTTCGCAATGGCTGAATCGATTGTAATAAAAGTTCACGAACAAATAGAGAGCTATTACCAGGAGTGATCTAGACTAAATTTTATTCAAAAAATATAGTTTTTATTCAAATAGAAATATAGATAAGATAAAATAAATGCTCTTTAACGATTATCTTAAGTCGTCAATTAGATCCCACCACGGCGAAGCGAAGCCAGAACAGATCGCTAGTTGTTAATGTTATTTTTAAACTGCTTGCGTACTTGCGTATACAATTTTCAAATATTTTTCCATTATAATAAAATTTTCAAGTCTCCGAATTATATAAGATTTGAACGATATATCATTATTAATGGGTTTTCGCTATTAGTACTGTGTATATTGACGGTACGGGTTCGGTGAGTCGCCATTTCTAATCCCATTCTTTATCGGTACGGACTGTAACCTCAAGTCCTATTTTGTTGCTTTTTTACATTATAATTTGTTTATATTGTAAAAACAAGAATCATTTATAACAGAATCGTAGCAGTTAAGTGGCATAACGCTCGCTGTAAATTTCACAGTACGCGAGCAACCCTGGTTCGATCCCCGCTGAAACCAATGAAATTGTTGGTGAAATTGGCGGTGAAGGAAACATCATGTCTAACAAATAGGATAAAAAAAATTTCGAAGACATGTGAAGTTCGCTAACACGCATTGGGGCAGCGCGGCGGACATTTCCTTGCCCCTAAAACCCTCGCAGAAATGAGAGAAGTCCTGTGCCCAGCGGTGGAACGTATATAGGCTATAACTTTATTACAACGTATGAATAATATTCTCCTTTGTATATTATCTCACAAAAGCGCTTCTAAAGCATACAAAGTTTTATTTTTATTTTTAAGTAATTAAGTTTAAAAATAAAAGCATCGATTATAATATGGAAATGTTTAAAAGGAATTTTGTAATAGAATATTAAATTGAATAATATATTATTGCATTCGTAAAAATTGTACGATATAAAATAAATAATAAGAAAGACACGGACAATATACTAGCTGCCCCGGCAGATATTGTTTTGCGGTGTAAATATAAAAAATTATTAATAACTCGACTACAGCGCCGCCTATCGAGTCCATTTTATTATCTTCGTTTTTCACACTAACTAAACATATAATGTAAATATGAGTAGGAAACTTTGGTCCATATTACATACAGAATTAGAAATACCTTTAATACAGCGCTACCTACTGCATCCTAGGACACCTGTGAATCTTCATATCGTCTCGACAAAACGAATAAATATATTATAATTCAATAGGTCAAGTGAAAATTCGCGCTATACCCCCCCCCCCCCCCCCCTCCACCCTCAACAATTATATAATTATAGTATAAGTAAATGGGTATATAATTTAAATAATTACAATAGCACATTCTTCGTAACTTTGTAGTATGTTGCACAAAATGTAAAGCAACAAAAGCTATTTATTTATTGACTATAAAATATTGTTTGGATATCAGGAAGCAGCAAGTATCACGGGTCGGTGGGTGGACATCATTAAGATCATATTGAGTGAGTCTCCCTCTACCTTACATGCGAAATCATAACATGATTCGAAAAATGGTACATTAATTACAGCAGTATCTTTGAAGCTTATTATTAGAAAAATTCTCGTAGGAATATGAAAAATATAGATTTATAATATATTTTGCACAATATTAGATTTAATAATTCATTCTAATCAAGACCACCTTAAACAAAAAGAATACAGAAAATACAAGACACACACGCATGCATGTACGCACGCATGCACCAAAACACACACACACACACACCCCACCACACACACGCGCGCGCGCACGCACGCACGCACGCACGCATGCACTCACGCACGCACGCACGCACGCACGCACGCGCACACACACACACACACACACACACACACACACATATATACATACGCACACACGAACGCACGCACGCACACACACACACACACACACGCGACACACACACACACACACACACACACACACACACACACACACACACACACATACACACACATACACTAATCTCTCACTCAAATTAATTAGACATGAAAAAAATGAATTGAAGTCCGTTTTTGAGCTGAATTTCATGTAGCACCCTAGAAAACATCAGTATTGTCTAGTTTAGAGATGACCCAGATAGACACTCGAACCAAGTTTGAGTTGTTCGTGTCTTTTGATCATGAGCAGTCTTACTACTATACATACTTTGTCATTTGGCTCGTAACAGGTCAAATTTAACACATCACGTGTTTGATCGATCCACTCACACGAGCTGTAGGAAATGATGTAGTGTATGTCTTGGTTATCAACGGTAAGCACTTAACTTCAGCTTTTGTTTAGTGATTCGCGACAAGAACTCAACGCGATATGTTTTGTTTTCTTATAAGGTCTTGTCGAATTATAGCTTTGGTAGTGTTCACAATCCGTTGGATACTAAAAGCACACGGTCACACTGTTTATTATGATCTTCTACAGAGTTATCGGTCGGTGTATCTGTCGGCAGTACGATAAAAAATACGGCTTATCATATACCTAGTTTTTGTAGAGCCTTAAAAAGGACTAATGGCACCAAACCCACTTTGTTCAAAACAATCAGTGCAATTTCGTTTTCTATAACGTCCTACTATATAATGTAATTTAAAATCAGGGTGAAGAATAATATGTAAAACTAGCTATTCCCGTGACTTCGCTTGCGTGGAATTTATTAAATTGGATTTAATGGATTCTGATTTTTTTGCGCGGAACCCTAATTGTTTTTCTAAAATAAAAGTAGCCTAAGTTACTCTTTATAACATCTGCTATCTGCCAGTGAAAGTCCCGTCAGTCACTCTAGCCATTTCGGAGATTAGCCGGAACTAACAGACAGACAGATATCAAAAATGTATATTTTTATTTTGTTACAAGTACCGTATAAACTTTCATAGCCGTGGTAGCTCAGTGGTTAACGCTCGCTGTAAATATAACAGAACGCGAGTAACCCGAGTTCGATCCCCGCCGGCACCAATGAAATTGTTAATTGCAATTTTAAGTGCTGATTTACCACGTGCTCGGCGGTGAAGGAAAACATCGTGAGGAAACCTGCATGTCTGAGGAATAAGAAAAAAATATTTCGAAGACATGTGAAGTTCGTCGACACGCATTTGGGCAGCGCGGCGGACACTTCCTTGCCCTAAACCCTCTCAGAAATGAGGGGAGGCCTGAGCCCAGCAGTGGGACGTATATAGGCTGTAACTTTACTTTTACTTTTTACCGTATAAACTTTCATATGCAAAGATGTTATTTTGAAATTACAAATAGACACTTGAATTTTATTTTATTGTGTAGATGGCGGCAATTTAAAAGAAGTTCCTTACTTATTAACGCCTTCCAAATTTAAATTCAGAAACTTTTTAAATTGTTAAATTATTTTGGCCGGCTTATTTACTTGACGTTATACATGTATACATCGTGAATCATGTCAATAATGCTTAATATTCTTATTATCTCTGTTCTTAGACACATATGTAAAACTAAAATATGGTATTAAAACAATTTTAAATTACAAAAATTTTGATAATCGAAAATTATGTATACCAAAATGTTATAATAATTAAAATTTTAGTAAGTATAAAATCAACTTCAAAACTAAAATAAATCGGTTTTTACTTTTATTAAAAATTTAATAATTATTAAACCCTTTTGAGAGGTCTAACTAGTAAGATAAACATTTAAATTTCTTATTTTTAGACCCGTAAGGAATTTTTGTTCAATCAATATAAACTCTCATCATTGAAACCGGTTCAGCCGTTTTCAACTTACATTAAAAACATACGGATCGAACACATCCTCGTTTTGTGAACTCGAATTAAAAACAGAATCACCATAATAAGTTGTGATGACACCGATATATCAAAGTAGCAAAAAGGAAAACGATTTTTGTAATTGCAATAATATTAGCTAGCTTTGAAGCCCAATACAAAGTGGCTGCTCCCCGCACAATTGGCGCCGTGCGGTGCCAATTGTATCCGTCTTGTATATATCCTGCTCTTTACAATTACGTTCGTTATCTCCTTATTTCGGTGGATAAATTCGCAATGTGCGACGCGGGCGACAAACGGGCCCCGGAAAGGGGAAATGTCACCTCGTTATCTGAAAAGGTTGCGATTTTAT